CCTGAAATAACAGGGAAAATACAGGGAATTTTTAGTTTTCCTTTACAAACTGGGAAAATACGGGGAATTTTGCTTCTTATTTTCGTCTTTTAAAAAATGGTGGTCACTCAAAGCGCTATCTATGGCATATTTACGGATGATATTTCATCGATACTAAACTATTTCATTCACTCTCGCATTATTTGTTTTAAATATGTTCAGCTGTACCTTTTTTCTCTAAGTTTCTCCGGTCATTAAATTTAATATAGTTAGTACAATATAACTCACACAAAGGCGCAGTGATAGTGTGTTTCCTCTCAATATATTGTGTATAATATCTATAGGAAAAACACAGAGAATTTTTTTTTTCCAGGTTAGAGAGGTAACCCTGAAGAAAAAGACCAATTATTTTTAAGAAGTGAAAAGAATTTAGTTTTTTTCTTAATTGTGTAAAATAACACATTGTACATGATTGCAAATAAATAGGCTAATTTTTTAAATTGTAATACTTTTTTTTAAAATCGTGTATGTTGTCTCAAGGTTGTGCCTTTAATTATTTTTTTCGGCCATTTTGTTCAAGGTTATTTATTTCTGTAGCGACTTAGTCGTCAACAATATTATTTACACAGTTAAATTTGTTTCCTGGCATTCTTTTTGTCCAACTGTTAAGTCTGTTAGCCGCTGTTGAATTTTGATACTGTTTTTATGTTGAAAACAAAATAAACTTTGTAACTTTTACTGTTCCTATTGGTGATTAATGTAAATTTTTTTAACCAAAATAAAAAGTATATAATGAAACATTTAACAACATACTGTCACGATGAAATAACAAGCAGCTAAGATGTATACCACAAATAATTTAACTTTAGAATACTATGTCAAATGTATTTCAACTTTATATCAAAATGTTAATAAAAAGGACGGTAAATTAAGTAGCTGCAATTTTGTGCAGAGTATTTTCTTAAAAGCTTATACTGTGACATATTTATTGTAAATTAAATACAACTAAGAAATACAAAAGAAAATTTTTTTTTCGTCTGTTGAAAGCCAGATGATTTTTAACTTGCTGCAGCAAGATGGATCACTTAAGGAAACTTGGTTTAAAAAATAGTAAACTAGAGCAATTTTATATATTTTTTATAGTAAACATATGGTGGGAGCATTGCTCTTACATATCTCATACAGAAAATAAATAAATAATAAAGTTTAGTGACAATAACTTAACATAAATAAAAATAGAACATTGGCCCATCTTGCCCGGGCAAGATGGGACACATAATTATGTTTCAAAAATCACAGAAATTAATGTCAAAATCGAAGAATAATCGACAAAAAAACGTTCTTAAACATCACAGTTACTGCAAAAGATGCGGATAAAACCGGAATAAGCGCTGCACACTTCATGAACCCATTCTAAACAATCTGAACATAGTCAATTAATTAATTAAAAAAAAATTTATAAATTTTTTAAGCAGTTTGTTAAGTTATATTTGATAGTTCATATTTTTTTGTTAATATTACCTAATTTTTTATGCTATTTGTCAAATCCGGAGAGTTTAATTTTTATATTACGCTTTTATTATACTTTGGCTGTCCCATCTTGCCCGGTCCATTTTGCCCGGATAGTACTTTTTTTTAAAAAAATATCTGCAAATTTGTTTAAACAAATAAATTTCAATTTACACTACTCATTATGTTTCTACAATAATAACACTACTGGGTCACAAATTTGAAAAATTTATTGCAGTGTATTAAACAAATAATATCAGCATACAAACCTGGAAAAATATTTTAACACGATGTAAGAAAAACAAAACAATGCTTGCATTTCGATAACACCTAGTGAACTGATGAAAAAACTTGTGCGTATTGAGAACAATAATTTTTTCTTTCCGAAAACGCACTTTAAATGTCGCTACCGTGAATGCGCATAGAAAAAAAAAGCGATGTCCCGTCTTGCCTGAGCTTCCCCTATGTATTGAGTAATAACAAAATAATGTATACAGGGTGTTTATAAAGTCCCGGACACATTTTGATGTTTAATGACTCATAAAATAATAAAGATAGATTAAAATTAATAGCATAAATGGTTAGATAGACTCAAAAAGTTTCATGACCCTTGACAATGAACTTCCACATGTTCATTGTCGCACGGAGAATATCAAAAGTCGAAAGTCGATTTCACGCCAGGTAGCGGCAAGTATGTCGGCATCCATAAAGGCTATTGCGGTTGTAATTCTGGCTTTTAGGTCATCAATGTTCGACACGATATTCCTGTAAACATTGTCCTTTATAAATCCCCAATGAAAAAAGTTCAGCGGTGTTATATCGGGTGATCTGGGTGGCCAAGGAATTGGACGTAAGCAAGTGCCACGTTTGATCAACCAATCAGGATCGAGATACCCCTACTGCGTCACTTGCAGATATTTCATTGGATTTATGGCTAAAAAATAAAATAATTTTGAAAATCATGACTGCCAGGCGCATTCTCATTGGAGGGAGATATCACGTGGTAATAACATATATTGAATAACATCAAGTCAGAAATCTAATGAGCTTTCTACTGCTACCAAAATTGATGATTGAAATAAATTTAGGTAGAAAAATACTGAGTTGAGTGTTTGCGACTACAGAAAATTCGATTGCCATGCTGATATTAATTTTTTGAATGGTTATTTCAAATATCTGTACTGTACGTATCATAGTTTCAAAAAACCAAAACTTTTATAACACGCTTTGAAATATCAATGATTTCTATATTTTTAACAAACGTATTAAATAAATAATCTCCTTGACAACATGACACATTATTGAAAAACAGTGATATGAAGCAGCATTTTTAAGATTTTAAAATTTGTCACAAACATCAAAATGATGAGTTATTATTTTTAAAACCATTTCAAATTGAAATGCTTTATTCTTTTACTTTACAAAGATAAATAGATTTAAGTAAAACATATACTAATTCACATAAAAAGGAAATATTATAAAGAAATATGCAAGCCGATGTCTCAATTTAGTTAAAAGATAAAATTTTCAAATCCTTTGTGTGCAGTACATCAAAAAAAATCAGTGCTCATAAATACCATAATATATTGGTAATTAAATGAATCCAGAGTGTTTGTTGGTGCAAAATAAAACTTCGCAACACTTTATCATAATTATCACTCTATTGATTAAAACTCATTTATAAGCTATCTTAAGCCCGATGTGGGTTCGGGCTCGTTTACGAAAAAAAAAAAAAGGTTTCGAGTAAACTTGGACTCATGATAACATTTTTATAAACTTTTTCACTACTTGTAAACAAATATCAGGTTCAGTTATAGAGAAAGAAAAAAAAATGATATTTATAAGACATAAAAAAATTACAGAGATCTCGCTACTTCTGTTCGGTTTTTTTAGCTAAGTGAAGTTAACGTTTAATGTCAAAATAGAAATGTCTTTTATTTAGTTTAAGATATTGATTTTCTTTTTTTTAATTTTCGTTTGTGTCATCTTGGAGTTTCCGTCGGTTCAGTGTTTCTCTTCACTTTTTGTTTTACAGGGTAGTGATAAAAAAAATTTAATGACCAATGTCTTTTCTTAGACATCAAATGACGAGATAACACAATTTGACCTTTATCCGACGGATATTTCGAACTGCAACTCGTTGTTGTTGTTTCTAATACGACATGCCAATATCAACAAGCCTATTTGGGGAAACCAAGCGAATTTAAGGCAGAAGTTGCGTTTCTTGTTTTTCAGTAGCTCCATCTATGATCAAGAACCCGCCTTCAGTCACACGCGCGTCATAGACAGACTCATCCACTGATTCTAATTTTGACCTGAACTAGAGAACGATCAATCTCCAATTCAGCACCCCCAGTGGTATGATTTGTTATGGGCACTTGGAGGACTTTGTGACCGGACAGATTTAGCATGCATCAGACACCATATACTCCAAGGTAAGTCTTCATCAGGCGGGAATCAAACTCACGACCTCTTGGACATGCCGATATATCTCGCGCTCAGGTGGGCTCAGATTAAACTCCTTCGGGCTTCCCAATTCCTTCCTTGAACGCTGCTCTCTTTTTCTCCTCTCCACTCTGACATATGAAATCAAGAATCTTCCTATCAGTTAGCATTATGGACGTATATTACCTCTGCTAGGGGGAGAGGAGATGATTTGGTAGCAATTCCAACCAAGGATATGTTAAAGCTCGCTTGAAATAGAGACATTTTATTTTTAAAATTCAGACCTAAGAAATTATCTATTTTTTAAATTGTAAATTTAATTACACAAATTTTGATTGAAAAAATTGTACTCTTAGAAGGGGTTGTGTTCATTTATAAAATGTGAGAGGCTGAGATCAACTCTGCCCCCCCCAGTTCCACGAATAAGATCCAAAAAATATTAATCTCCACTAATACTAATATTTCAAACTTTTCAGAAGACATTTTTTTTTAATTGAATATAGTTTCCTGAAAAAAATGATATTAAGGAAACACATATTTCACATAAGAATTAACCATATGATATAAATAATTTATGAGGGTTCAGATGTTTAGTATTAAGAAGCGCTACTGGTTAAGTTAATTTTCACCCGCAATTATTTAATGAACCTCACTGATTTATATTTGCATGCATTGGTAGCTATAAAGAATTAATGAATGATTTTGCAACGAAATATAACGATAACTTATTTTAATTTAAAGTTACGTGACAACAATCAGAAAAGTAATGAGGCAGCCTCAGTTTTTATTTTTATCAATAAATAGTTTTTTCATATTTGACATCCTTATCAGTTACGAAGTTTTATTTGTTTATCAGTATATCACATTTTGATAAANGATTTGGTAGCAATTCCAACCAAGGATATGTTAAAGCTCGCTTGAAATAGAGACATTTTATTTTTAAAATTCAGACCTATCAATATAGTTCTATTTTATCAATATAGTTTTTTCATATTTGACATCCTTATCAGTTACGAAGTTTTATTTGTTTATCAGTATATCACATTTTAATAAAAAGACGGGGAAGATTGAAATTCTTTGTTATAAATATGTGCTGTTAATGTTTCTAGTTTTAAATGGTGGATTTTACGTATCAAAGGATAAATTCTAATATGTTGTCTTTATAGGTTTATTGATGAAGAACTCTTTAAATTTGGAATGTTAACGGAACCAACCATGCATGAATGTATAATGAGGTTGCTCTCGCAGGGAGATGAAGAATCACTTGAGTGTTTGAGTAACTTACTAAAAACGGTAGGTAATGAACTTACTAGAAATTGGTTACCAACTGGCGGGCCGCATCCGGCTCACGAAGTTCTTTTTTGTGGCCCACGATCTAAAAGATATTAGTTTTCCTTTTCTTGCTGACCATTTTCGTAAAACTCTTATATGGGTTTAAAATACTTTTCTTTCGTTAAAAAAATAATAATAATTTCTTCGTTTCTGTGAAATTTAACATACCAACGGTGGAAAAAAAATTATTTCTCAGGTTTTGCATCCAAGAAAATATTTATTATTATTTGTAACTCAATACTTTTGTTTTGAACAACTTGATAAAAATATAACAGTAATATATAATGTTCCTTCGAACATAAAANGACTAGGTGGAGGACTTTTTGATGGAACTAACCCACATTGAAAGGCGAACGCTCTAACCCCTGAGTCACCACTGTTCAATACTGAAGCATTAACATTAATTGAATAGATATTTTGAACAACTTGAAAAAAATATGACAGTAATATGTAATGTTCCTTCGAACATAAAAGAGTCTTATAGAAAATTTTGACAAAGTTGCTGTCCACCATTTGACTGGTGTTTTTAATTGTGGCCCCCGACCTCATGTAAGTTGGAAACCCCACCCCTGTACTAGACGATCAAAAAGTTAAACATTCGAAATGAAGAGTAAGTGTTCTTTGTTTTCATTTTGAACAGAGCTTTTATTTGTCATAAAAAGTGAGGAAAATTATTATTGTTACTAACAGTATGTTTGAAGCTTTAAAAGATAACCTATCTTACATCTGAGTTATCCTGCTGAAAAAGCTATAGTCAAGCATTCACAGATATATTGAGCTATAAGACAATATAGAGAGTGTTCCGTAATGACCTCCCTTAATCATGAAAATACCTAATCAAAAGAGTGTACACGCTATTAAAAATTTTCATGTTTATATTCCAGTGGAAAAAAAATATATACGATGTAGAAATATGTTAAATAACTATTGGCAGAATAAAAAGGCACCAAAACAGTTTTATAGCCAGATATAACTTGAAGTAATTTAGAAATCAATTTAGTTCAGTTCATTCTATTCAATATATTGATTTGTTAGATTTCGGCAAACGTTATTGTTTTATTTATTAATGGTTTGGTTTCATTATTTTTGAGGATTTATAAATTAAGTACAATCATCGATATGGAAAACATTTTCTCTCACCCTCTCCCTTTATATATATATATTAATAAATTATTGATTGTGGTTGAATGTATTATAAACTTTGTTTTAGTGATTTTTGGTATTTTATTTTTCGTTAAATTCACATTACTTGGTTATAACAGCATTCTATTTATATAAGATAATTGTATTAGGAAAGCAATAAGCGTGTTAAAATTGAAAAGTTTTTCTTGACATTTTTCTGCTTCAGGCTCAAGTTTTAAATATTTCAGCTCGTTATTACTTAAAATTTCATGAAAAAAAAAAGAAGAAAAGGTTGGAAGGTTTGTGTTATCATGTTTACTATAAATAATGAAAAAAGAAGGAATATGTTGGTGTGACCCGCTTCTATTTCCAGAAATGTTTTTGCTAAGCGAACGATTTGCAGCCGATTATCCAATCCTACTTTTTTTTTTAAAAATTTTTACTTGATCATTAAAAAAAAAACCAAGAAGGAAGTTTTTATTTAAGAAAATACCAAACAGAAGATCGGATCGCTTAAAGTCACTAAATTGGAAATTCGTACACGGCCCACGGTATCACATGAAACGAGCCTTTCTAACTCTAGCGGTTCAAGATCCCACATACACGTGATCTCGATGTGGTGTTCCCTCGTGTTACATCTCGTACTAATATGTTGCGTACTCTTTAGCAGGTATACTCTTTGAACTTACAGTCCCTCAGAATCGCTTCTCCCTCCATCCGTCAGTCCTGAGGGGGGAGGGGTTAATCGAAAGCAGAATTCATTACCGTAGTTCAATAAATACTTGTTTTAACCCTTGAAACTATTTATGTAAACCTTAATACTGAAGCATTTTCTTTTCTTATTTTATAAATGTCGTTGAACAGCTGGCCCAATTTAGGATTTACGACTACTAATGTTCAACTCCGTAGCCTTGTAATTTCGAACCCATTCCATGAGACAAGGGAACTCGTGGATCAAGCATTGGGGGGAAATTTTGACTAGGTGGAGGACTTTTTGATGGAACTAACCCACATTGAGAGGCGAACGCTCTAACCCCTGAGTCACCACTGTTCAATACTGAAGCATTAACATTAATTGAATAGATATTTAGCATTTTACTAAAATGCAAATTCATCGGAAAAATTTTTACAACTTCCATGTGTCGACCACCACTATCAATGGTCGATATTATAAAATGTTTCAAGAGAAAAATGCTACTAATTTTAAATTTGATAAGATGAACTTCTAAAAACTTGTTTTACTTAGGCAATCATCTATCAACATAAAACCACCAACATGGGTTACGAATAATAAAAGGAATTATAGCTACACTAACCTACATTGATGGAAGAGACACTTTTAGTTTTTTTTTAAATTTCGCAAGAGATACTAAAGTGATTGTTTCGTAGCTTTAGAGGTTCATGCAATTCTTCATATTTAGTAATAAGACTTGAAACTTTCAGAGGTTTCAGGGACCAACAGTACATTACGGAAGAAAACAAGTATTTTTGTACACCCTATGCCATAAAATCAAGCAATAAGCTTGTAACTTATACCTATTACTTTATCTATTATTTGCAATAACTGCATGAAATTTATATACCAAGCTTCAATATTTATAGAAATATGGACATTTTTATTCAACAAAAAAAACTAGTTTTTTTTGTCTTGCGTTTGTTTTGCTATAACTTTTAAAATATTTCATAAAATTAAAAAAAAATTTCAGAGCAGTTACGAAATAATAACAAAATTATTGTTTTAAAAATTGAAAAAAAATTGTGTTAAAAAAGTGAGCAAAATGCGACTATTTAAAATAGTTCTTTATTACTGCGCATGCGTGAAATATATATATATATAATTTTGTAGTGAATAGTATTTGGCAACTAATGAAAAAAGTCTGCTTTGAATATCTTAGAAATTTAAAAAGTTTCAAGCAGTTTTTCTAAGTAGTTTTTTGAAAGAAAGCTTAAAATGATATGTAAAATTAATGTTTTCCACAAATTTTATTTTGTACTATTATACAAGATATATTAAAAATGACACTTGCATTCTTGGGGGATCATCTCTCATAAAAGAATATTTTTTCCGCCTGTTTTCTTTTCTTATACCATCCCAGTCTGGTGACCCGATGATTATTGTAAGGTATTAAAATTTGTTATTAAATTTTGTCTTTTGGTACAAAATGGAATTTGTGAGAAATCCCTTATTATTTTAAACTTTTTCTTCTTTTTTTTAAGTATTAAAATCAGATTTTTTTTCATTAGTTGCGTAATACAAGTCACTACAAAATTATTAAATTTTTTTTAGGTTTTCCGCGCATGCGGAGCATAAAAGAACTACTTTAAAAAGTCATATCTAACAATAACTTTTAAAACAATAATTTTTAAAACAATAATTTTGTAATTAATATTTAATTGGTTCAAAAATGTGTTTAATTTTATTAAATATTTTTAAAGTTATTGCAAAATAAAACATAAGACAAAATTTTTTTTATACAAATGTCCATATTACCATAAATTTTTAAGTTAAATTCATGAAATTTTATGCAGTTATTGCAAATAAAAACTAAAGTAATTTTTACAAGTTACGAGTTCTTTGCTTAATTGTTTAGCATAGGGTGTACAAAAATGCTTCGTTTCTTTCGTAATTTACTGTGGATCTCTGAAACATTATTGTTAAGTATGAAAAATCGCACGAATTAATTAGTTACAAAATAATCTTATATAAGTAATTCTTGAGAAATTGAAACAAATGCTAAAAACCGAAAGTGTTTTTTCCATTATTGTAGGGTAAAGTATTTTAACTCATTTCATTGTGAGGATATATGACTTTCAGTTTTGCGCACGATTGCGCAATATTTTTTAATATAGATTTATAATTTTTTTTTATATTTATCTGACACAAAAATTTTTTATTTGGCTAGTTTTAAATTAAATATAAAATTTTTACACCTTGCAATTTAAAAATCTTTTATTTATTATTAAATTAAATAATAAAATTTTTTTCGTTGCTTAAAATATTTTGGATAAATGACTTTCAAAAATGGATGCATTTTTGATTTGCAGAGTTGGAAATAAATATAAAATTAATGGGTTTTAAGCATGTCTTTTTTTTTTCCTTGTCATATCTTTTTTGTAACATTTTCTTGCCATATTTAGACAGTCTCTCTTTTTTTTCAGATAGAAAGTTATTTCACACAAATGCAAAATATTAGACAAACATTTAAACAATTCTAAGGTCAAATTTAAGTAGCAAGAAGTTACAGTTTTAAAAAGGGTAAGTCATGAAATACCATATCAAAATATTACTTTTTTAAATTTTGTATGAGTTAATTGGAAAATAATCAATATCTAAGAGAGTCATTATGTATTTCAGTAATTAAATTAAATTGGAATTTTTTACATGATCATACGTCATTGAAACTAATTTTAAATTTATTATAGTATTCTTTTCTATTCATTCCTTAGATTTTTTTTGTTTCACTGATGTTAAATCTAAATATTCAAATTTCTCTACATTCTTAATATATATTAAGTATAAAGACTACGCTTCTTATTTATCAGCTTTGTATTTTTCTTATTTGTGGACTATAAGTTAATTGCGATTTTTTATAATAGCTGTCAACCCTACTTGAATTTACACTGTAATCACAATTTTCTATTCATGAATGACTTCAGAATGTTTTGTAAAAAATTTAAATGTTTTGGTCCCAAAAGTCAAAATCATAAGATATGATAAGCGCATTATCTAATAAATGATATTTAGTTTGCCTGCGTCCACATTTTATATTGCGTCTTTTTTTTATTTTTATTAAATAATAGATTTTATTTAATGACTTTTTATAACTTATAATTTTTTTGTCGATAAATAATGCTATCATACATAGGGTATCTGCGCACCTGGAAAGTCATGAATTTCGGTATTGAGCAAAATTTGTCATGATTTTCAACAAAAAAATCATGGACTTAAATTGCCGAAAAATCTAATTTTTAAAATGGAATTTCCCTCCCTCCTCCAATTTCATGGTGTTCCGAATATCTGAATTTGTAACAAAATCCCCACTCACAGTCATACTTTATTAAAATATCAAATGTTTTATCGTGTTCTTTAAAAATTATGTTCTTTCAAAAATTTCTAGAGGGAATTATCTTTCAAACTTCTGTGATTTCACAATTTTTATCATTATTTATTTTTTTTATTTTATTTATTTCAAATTCTAGCTGAAGCAAGCCAGTCATTGACGAATTTTTTTTTTATTCAGAAGAATTTCTTTCCTTTCCGATGAACAAGAAAAGTATCTTTAGAATATAATTCTGCGAAAAAAAAAGGGGGGGGGAATATTTGCTTTTGCATTTTTTCAGCTATTTTATTGCTTTGACTCTTTCTTTACCCTGTTTTTTAAATTTGAAATATACAAATATGAAGATGCAGAGTGAAACAGTTTTCGTTATACCTATCATTTCAATTAATAGTATTATAATATTTTTTTAAATTTATTTTTGTGTTTTTGTCGGAGAAAATAGTAACTTCATTAAGTCATGAAAATGCTTGGAATTAGTCATCGAAAGTCATGAATTTGAAAATCTATAATGTAGCAGATACACTGCATACATTTATGTCCATTTTCTATATAAAAAAGTAACTTGCTGAAGCATAACTTATAGAAAAGATAAATTATTCTTCGATTTGCATATTCTAATAAGCAATTTATTTATTCTGTAAAATCCCTACTGGATAATATGCAGCAAAATTTATCTCCTTAGTATTTATATTCGTGTCGAATATAAATATTGTTTGGGCAAGATCATTTTTAAAATGAATAGAACAAAGAAATCGTACTTATAAATTCAATAAAGTAGGTAGAATATCATTTTTAGGGGTTAATACATGTAAATTAGTAATGCAAATAGGTCTAATTAAATATGCTATTGATAATCATTTTCTTAATACCTATAGGGAGAAACTTAAGCTGGTAGCGTGTATTGCTTTACAATGTAGTGTTCTATCCTAAGATTTGTTAAGCACCCTAAAAGCTGTTATTATTATTTTGCTGAATATCATAAGAAATGCTGGAGGTTTAATAGAGATAAACAAAATTGACCAACTTAATTATTGGGGTATCCTTACGAAATCTGTCTTAGCGCCTTCTTGAAAAATTATACATTGCCTGATTTTAAAGAAGAACTTGATGAGCTAATAATAAACTTGATGTAGAATTGCTACAAACTACTTACATTAATGAAGAACTTGATGAGCTAATAATAAACTTGAAACAGAATTGCTGCAAACTACTTACATTAAAGAAGAACTTGATGAACTAATAATAAACTTGAAGCAGAATTGCTACAAACTACTTACATTAAAGATTCTAAAAGTAAATCTATTTTAGGTGTTATGTAAAAAATCAGTTTTTGATATTTTTTCTTTTTTTAGTTATTTTACCTTAGCAATACGATACGCATGATTTTGAACGCATGATAAAGATTTGATGCAGAGAATCTCAATTTATTAGTGTCTGACTATTTTTGACGAGATTTGTTCTAATTTCAGGAGGTTGTCGCAGNTTTTTTTTCTATATGTCCATTGTATGGTCAAATGAAAGGAAAAGTTATGCACTTAATCGTGCACATTATTTAAATTTAGCTATTTAATTTTTCATTATAAATTTTGATACTCCATGTGTGTGTACATATGTTTAATATACAAAAGTAAGAATTAAAAAAATATTATTCCTCTAGTATTTAAGAAATATTTTTTGCCCTATGAAATATTTAGTGCAGTAAATTTTATCCTTATATGTACTGCTTAGCTTTGCTTTTAAAGATTATAATTTAAAGTTATAAAGATTCTCATTTTTTCTACATATTTGAGGGACATAAATTTACAATAAGTAATATGTCTGTTAAACTCTTTATCGAAAAATCCTGCATTAAAGACAATACTGTTTTCTAGTACTTTTAAGTTTTAAGATTTCAAGTACTTTAATAGATATACTTTTTTATTTTATAGGCTCATATACTAACTTCCAAGATCACTTTTTGCCCACTTTTGCACAAAGAGGAGTACCTAGAATGGTATGTTTCAAACATATTTTGCTCATATTTCTGTTGATATGACAATTCTGTTAATAATTCTTAAAATGCTTTTAAAAAAAATGTTGACTTTTTTTTAAATTTTGAAAGTTAAGACAATTATACAAACACGGTTGAAAAATACTCTTTTTAAATTAAATTAAATTACTTTTTCTTTGCATACATATTAAGCTAATATATTAAACCATATTTTACCACATTAAAAAAATTAATATTTTTTGATGTAAAATTCTGTCACATACTAATGAAACATGAAGTAGAACATAACATTCAAAAAAATTTCCAAAACTTTAATGCATAGCAGCCAACTCTACTGGATTTTCCAGTAGGTTCCTAGATTTTGCCAGTTTCTCGTGGTCTACTGGTTTAATGAAAATTCTCGTGGTTTTTGTACATTTTAGAAAATTCCCTAAAATTGAAGTTTCCTTAAAAAATCCGCATAGAAATAGAATTTTTCTGTAGATTGCTGCTTGCTTGAATATTTAATTAAGTGTAAGTTAAGTGTAATGAAGCGAGCATCATTTATAAAATTCACTTAACTATCTTTGATGGATTACATGTCTATTACTATTCAAAATTATGAATAAACATAATACATAACATTTCAAGTGCATTTAGTGGGAAATCATAACTGGAAAATGTTGCAGTTTTTTGCAACATTTATCAAATTTATATTTGAAATGGCAGAAAATATTCGGTGCAAAGTCCTAAATTGCATTTTTGGCACACAGTTATAGGTTTTATTACTCTATTACCGTTGCAAGATTGGTTATAGGTTTTATTTCTCTATAGGTACTCTATTTTGGATATTTCTAAAATAATTTTAAACCATTAATAGTTGTGTCAATAGACAATGCCTTGCGACTTCACATAAAAAAGTGGTCACACGGACAACCTCTTGAGGGTAGTTCATTTCACGCTAAAGCATTTGTGCAGTCACCGACGCAAGTGCATTACAAATGCGTTCTTTGAGTTCTACAATTGTTTTGGGGTTGAGCTGTGAGGGTTCCGGGAATATAGTGTTCGCTTTTCAATGAGGTGAACATGGTTCGGATGCCAGCAATGGCTGGTCAATCAGAATTCCGCATCCGGTTTGCATCGACCATAGTGCTGACATAAAATATCTTCAGTGGTAGACAGATCATGGGTTAGAGTCCCTTTGCCGTCAGGCTAACAGTGGGGTGTACTGGTAGTCTTCCTCTTCATGTAACGTAAATGTGGGTAATTGCCATCGAAAATTTCTCACAATACTTGATCCAGGAGTTCCCTTGTCTTCTGGATTAGGTTAAAAATTACAAGGCTACGGAGTTGAACGTGAGTAGTCGTTAACCCATAAAATTGGGGTCGGCTGTTCAATAAAATAAAATATTAAAAAAAATATATACATANAAATTACAAGGCTACGGAGTTGAACATTACTAGTCGTAAACCAAAAAATTGGGTCGGCTGTTCAATAAAATAAAATATATACATAAAATTGTTTTTGGGGTTGAGCCATGTCAGCTCAGGGGATAGAGCATTCGTCTTCCAATAAGGTAAACCTGGTTCGAATCTCAGCAATGGCTGGTTGATACAAACTCTGCACCCAGCTAACACCGACCACAGTGCTGACTTAAAATATCCTCAGTGGTAGATGGATATTGGGTCAGAGACCCCTTGCTGCCAAGCTAACCGTAGGAGGCTTTTGTGGTTTTCCTCTCCATGCAACGTAAATGCGGGTTAGTTCCATCAAAAAGTCTTCAAGGAAAGTAAATTTCTCCAAATACTTGATCCAGGATTACATAACCTCATAGATAGAAATCGCAGGGTGCCAAGTCCGGAGATCTTGGTGGCCAAGAGCAGAATATATTGTCGGCATCTCCACTTCGACTGACTTAATGGTTTGGAAGATGTTGATTTAAACATGTGCGAACCATCGTACCGCAGTGTGAGGGTGCTCCATCTTGCTGCAAAATGTAATCCGTAGAATCAGTATCCAGGGGTGCCATTAACCCTACCTTAAGCATGTCAAGATAAACATTTGAGGAAACACTCACGGAAGGAAAAAGGACGGTGCGTTTATATGATGTGATCGCCCAGAACTTTCACTGAATCACGTTCATATTCAATAACAGTGGAAGCTCCGTACCCCACACTCGAATCACTATATTTATTTCGAATTACCCTGTATTTGATTGACAAAACATGTCAAAATATAATTAATAAGTTAATTTTGTGATCTTAAATATTTTTAAAAAAAATATATATATGCAACTTTTAAAAACATTTTAGTTTTCTTACAATTCAGGAAGATTTCAAATGTATCTAACACCGGTATCTAACACCGTTTCTAAAGTATCTAACACCGTTTATTTATAAAAACCTTGTATTTATATTTCTTTAGACTTTAGTAGCATGTATGGTCAAGTCAACTTGCAAGCAGTTTCCAGAAGGGTCATTTGAAATTGTTTGTAAATTTGGTTTTGCAAATATAACTATAAAAGTTTTATTTTAATGGCAATAACTTAGCCATTTTTAAAAGTAACCGAATTTAGTCTTAGCTCTAATAAAAGTCAGTTATTTATGTTGTATTTTCTGTAAAAGTTATTTCTTATAAAATCTTAACGCATTGTTGCAGATTTTCACAAAATGCCCTGTTTCTTTTCTTACCAAATCTGATATTTTTCATGCATTTTATTTATTAAAAAATGGTATTTCATAACAAGTTTAAAAAGTGTGCCTATGAAACATTCCTTTTTGTAGCTAAAATGTGGTTTGGAATAAATATTTTTCCAGAAGTGCCAGCAGAAGAGTTTTGAAATGGATTAATAAATGTATAGTGCTAAAAAGAACAAAAATTACCCTGAATAACTTTTTATCTAATTATCTNTAGTTTTCAAACATATTTTGCTCATATTTCTGTTGATATGACAATTCTGTTAATAATTCTTAAAATGCTTCTAAAAAAAATTTTGACTTTTTTTTAAATTTTGAAAGTTAAGACAATTATACAAACACGGTTGAAAAATACTCTTTTTAAATTAAATTACTTTTTATTTGCATACTTATTAAGCTAATATATTAACCCATATTTTACCACATTAAAAAAAATTAATATTTTTTTATATAAAATTCTGTCACATACTAATGAAACATCAAGTAGAACATAACATTCAAAAAAATTTCCAAAACTTTAATGCATAGCAGCCAACTCTACTGGATTTTCCTGTAGGTTTCTAGATTTTGCCAGTTTCTCCTGGTTTAATAAAAATTCTCGTGGTTTTTGTACATTTTAGAAAATTCCCTAAAATTGAAGTTTCCTTAAAAAATCCCCATAGAAATAGAATTTTTCTGTAGATTGTTGCTTGCTTGAATATTAAATTAAGTGTCACTAATACATAATAAAACGAGCTTCATTTATAAAATTCACTTAACTATCTTTGATGAATTAAATGCCTATTACTATTCAAAATTATGAATAAACATAATACATAACATTTCAAGTGCATTTAATGTGAAATCATAACTGGTAAATGTTGCAGTTTTTTGCAACATTTATCATGAAATTTATATTTGAAATGGCAGAAAATATTTGGTGCAAAGTCCTAAATTGCATTTTTGGCACACAGTTATAGGTTTTATTACTCTATTACCGTTGCAAGATTGGTTATAGGTTTTATTACTCTATAGGTACTATATTTTGGATATTTCTAAAATAATTTTAAAGCATTAATAGTTGTGTCAATAGACAATGCCCAATTTTCACAAAATTGAAAAGATAAATGCTATTTAAGTTAATCATATTTGAAGTGTCTTTTTAAATTGGTATTTACTAGGTTAAGTGTAAATCAAACTTTTTTTTAAAGAAAAAATGAGCTAGTTATTTATTTTTAAATATTTTACATGATAAAATTTTCTATTTATATAAATTGTTCCACTTAGATTGTTAAAGAAAAAATATTAAAATAACTAAAAATATTTTTAAGGTATATTACTCTTATTTATTTAACGCTGCAATATTATGATGCTAAGAAGGAATAAGATATGTTGTAATGGTCACTGTTAAGGTTAACTTTCAATGTCAAAATTAAAAGTGTTGACCATCTCTTTAGCAATCATGCATAAAGTTATAAACTGAAATAAGATGTTATGAGCTTTTTATTCCTCAGAAACATTTTAATTATGGTTGTACAGGGTAATTCAAAATGAATATAGCGACTACAAACAGCTATAACTATTCAAAGAAACAAAATGTATCGATAAAATTTACACAGAATGTAGAAGGAGCTTCAAAATTCAGATTATTTGTGCAACTTCACATAAAAAAGTGGTCCCACGGACAACCTCTAGAGGGTAGTTCATTTCACGCTAAAGCATTTGTGCAGTCACCGACGCAAGTGCATTACAAATGCGTTCTTTGAGTTCTACAATTGTTTTGGGGTTGAACTGTGAGGGTTCCGGGAATAAAGTGTTCGCTTTTCAATGAGGTGAACATGGTTTGGATCCCAGCAATGGCTGGTCAATCAGAATTCCGCATCCGGTTTGCATCGACCATAGTGCTGACATAAAATATCTTCAGTGGTAGACAGATCATGGGTTAGAGTCCCTTTGCCGTCAGGCTAACAGTGGGGTGTACTTGTGGTCTTCCTCTTCATGTAACGTAAATGTGGGTAATTTCCATCAAAAAGTCCACCACGGCCGAAAATTTCTCACAATACTTGATCCAGGAGTTCCCTTGTCTTCTGGATTAGGTTCAAAATTACAAGGCTACGGAGTTGAACATTAATAGTCTTAAATCAAAAAATTGGGTCTGCTGTTCAACAAAATAAAATATCAAAAAAATATATATATAAAATTGTTTTTGTGGTTGAGCCGTGACGGCTCAGGGGATAGAGCGTTCGCCTTCCAATAAGGTAAACCTGGTTCGAATCTCAGCAATGGCTGGTCGATGCAAACTCTGCATCAGCTTGCACCGACCACAGTGCTGACTTAAAATATCCTCAGTGGTGGATGGATATTGGGTAAGAGACCCCTTGCTGTCAAGCTAACCGAAGGAGGTTTTTGTGGTTTTTCTCTCCATGTAACATAAATGCGGGTCAGTTCCATCAAAAAGTCTTCAAGGAAAGCAAATTTCTCCCAATACTTGATCCAGGAGTTCCTTTGTCTTCACATAACCTCATAGATAGAAATCGCAGGGTGTCAAGTCCGGAGATCCTGGTGGCCAAGAGCAGAAAATATCGTCGGCATCTCCACTTCGGCTGATTCAATGGTTTGGAAGATGTTGATTTAAACATGTGCGAACCATCGTACTGAAGTGTGAGGGTGCTCCATCTTGCTGCAAAATGTAATCCATTGAATCAGTATCCAGCCGTGCCATTAACCCTACCTTAAGCATGTCAAGATAAACATTTGACGAAACACTCACGGAAGGAAAAAGGACGGTGTGTTTATATGATGTGATCACCCAGAACTTTTGCTGAATCACGTTCATGTTCAATAACAGTGGAAGCGTTCTCCATACCCCACATTCGAATCACTATATTTATTTCGAATTACCCTGTATTTGATTGACAAAACATGTCAAAATATAATTAATAAGTTAATTTTGTGATCTTAAATATTTTTAAAAATATATATATATATATGCAACTTTTAAAAACATTTTCGTTTTCTTACAATTCAGGAAGATTTCAAATGTATTAATATTTTTTATATTTTTAATTCTTATAGCTACTTTTCGTTTTAATAAAGTATCTAACACCGTTTATTTATTAAAACCTTGTATTTATGTTTCTTTAGACTTTAGTAGCATGTATGGTCAAGTTAACTTGCAAGCAGTTTCCAGAAGGGTAATTTGAAATTGTTTGTAAATTTGGTTTTGCAAATATAACTATAAAAGTTTTATTTTAATGGCAATAACTTAGCCATTTTTAAAAGTAACCAAATTTAGTCTTAGCTCTAATAAAAGTCATTTATTTATGTTGTATTTTCTGTAAAAGTTATTTCTTATAAAATCTTAATGCATTGTTGCAGATTTTCACAAAATGCCCCGTTTGTTTTCTTACCAAATCTGATATTTTTCATGCATTTTATTTATTAAAAAATGATATTTCATAACAAGTTTAAAAAGTGCGTCTATGAAACATTCCTTTTTGTAGCTAAAATGTGGTTTGGAATAAATATTTTTCCAGAAGTGCCAGCAGAAGGGGAAGAGTTTTGAAATGGATTAATAAATATATAGTGCTAAAAAGAACAAAAATTACCCTGAATAACTTTTTATATAATTATCTATTGATTTAAAATATTTCCATTGAATGAGTCCATAATTTATTTTCAATTTCAGTTTACAGGATATTATTTACCTCTTAGTAAATAATCTGCTGTCTCAAATCATCCCCAGTGATCTTTTCCTTCTTTTTTTTAAATCATTTTTCAATGATTTTAACATGAAGTTAGAATACAGCAAAAATAGTATGTCCCCCAGAACATTATTTCTTATCACTAATAAGAATTTTCCTCCATATGTTTCTTTTAATTAATGTGTGGAAAAATGAGTTAGAAAGCTCAGTTCTCAAATACCAAACACTGTTACTGTCACAAATGATGTAGTTATAACGTCCACAGTACCCGTTTAGAATGTTTCTGAAACTGAAAGATTCAAGCGTCTATCGTAACAAAATTATTCCCAACGCTTGACTTATTTCGCTTTAGTTTTTGAGAAGAAAAACATTTACTCTTGTTGGATTTGTTTCATTTTGGGAAAAACACCTCAAAGATCACGTTTGATGTCTAATTCTTCAGTTGATGAAAATGCAGAAACTTGAGGTGGGATGTCAGTTGAAAAAAATGGTAGCAGAAACTTAAGAAGTGCAAATGAAACAGAATCAAAAACATTTCGGAGCCTTTGAAACATTAAGAAATATTCAGTATTCACACTAATCTACTGAATGTAGTCAAAATGCAAATTAATATCCTAATTTAATATAACTTCTAACAT